AAGTGGAGTGCTGCCAGCAGCAGACTTGTGCTCCACACCTTGCTCTGAACTTAACAGCTCTGTGAAGACTATTTGCCTTCTTTGAGCTCCAGTATCTTACCATGAGCATAGACTGCCATTCTATTTCCAAAGGTTTCAAGAGGGATTAATGTGATTATGCATAACAGGCATTTGCCACAGTGACAAAGATTTTTCCTGATACTAATATATCAATGGACTCTGATGTCCTGGAGGGCAGGCAATTAGTTTTTCATTTCTCCTTCTGGCCCAAGCTTCCGAAGGGTACTCAATTAATAATTTAATTTTTAAAAAAGCTTAATAAGCCGGGCACTGGTAGCTTATGCTTGTAATCCTAGCTACTCAGGGGGCTGAGAGCTGAGGACCATGGTTCAGAGCCAGCCTGGGCAGGAAAGTCTGTGAGACTCTTATCTCCAATTAACTACCACAAAAAAATAAAACAGAAGTGGTGCTATGCTTCAAGTGGCAGAGCACTAGCCTTGAGCTGAAGAGCTGAGGGACAGCGCCCAGGCTCAGAGTTCAAGTATCATGACCGGAAAAAGAAAAGAAAAGAAAAGGGTGGAGGGAAGCTTAATAAAGTGCCAAATGAAGACATCAGATTTTGATAGACAATCATAAAAACAGAGTTGGGGTACACCACCCTACCCCCACCTGAATCATCTCTCTTCTCATTGTCTTTGTATGTGATTTATCTCCTTTGAAATCATTTATTTTTAAATTGTAAGTATTGGGGTTATTGGATTTGAACTCAGTTTGGAGCCTGTTACCTGCTTGACTTTGCTTGCTGCCCTGTGCCCTAACTTTTGAGGTACACTTCAAACCTGGATTTTCGCTGATTATTTTGGAGATAGTGTTGAGCAGATTATTCTCTGGCTTCCAACTGTAATCTTAGATCTTAGCTTCCCGAGAAGCTAGGATTCGAGGCATGAGCCACCAGTGTTTTGGGTTGGAGTATCTTTCACTTTATAAGGTTAGAATTTTAAAAGCTAATCTGCTTAGTGAGTACTCGACTTGTGTCAACACTGTTCTTTCCAGGTGTATTAGCCCATGAATGTTCTCAGTGACCCCGGGTGGGGGGGTAGAGACTATTGTGATCCCCACTGTAAGATGAACAAAGAATCGATGAATGAAAAGATATGTGACTTGCCCCAAGTCGCGGGAACTCGAATAGACAGACTTTGTGCTCCAGTTGCCTGAAATAGGGGAGGAACAGAGGAAGTGGGAGGGGCAGGGAGAGAAAGGGCGGTGTGCGGAGTCTAGGGCGGTCGTGTGCAAGTACCTTGCCCTCTGCCGCCGTCTCACCCACCTTCCCACTCTGCAGAGCCAGAGCCTCGGCGCAGCTGCGGGAAGAGGCCCGCGCTGTCGCCCAGCACAGGGTGGATCATCAAGCAGGCCAAGGCAGGAAGAATAAAGGGCTTCGTTGTGGGAAAGAACGGACCTTGTGTTCCAGCACTTTCTCACACTCCTTCTTTGGTCCTGTAGGTACCGGAGGTCCCACCGAAAGGGCTGGCCTTAGGGCGTCTCCTGACCGGCCATAACCCAGGGCCCTGGAGGGCGGCTCCACACCGCACACCGGGCGTTTGCAGAGATGCGGGTAGGGATGCAAACAGGACAGCATCGCACTTCCGTTCCGCCTTTTCATGAGTTTGTCACTGGCGTTCTTCAGATGCAGGCTGGAGCAGCAGGCTGGGCCGGGGGCTGTGCAGGCTCGGAGGCTGGGGCTGGGCTCCGTGCGCCCTGGGTGAGACCGAGGCAGGAGGCGCTACGGGCACCGCGGCGCGGGCACCGGAGCGCGGAGAGGATCCGCCTGTATTCCCTGCGGAAGTTCTGGTTCAGGAGCCCGTACACGATGGCGTTAAGGCAGCTGTTGAAATACGCCAGGAAGTAGCTAGTGACAAAGAGCTCTTCGGGGACCTGGGCAGCCAGCTCTTCTGGGTCGATGGCCACAGCCAGGCCGATGCAGTTAAGAGGGGCCCAGCAGATGGCAAAGATCACGAACACGGCAAACATGGTGAGAAAGCTCCGCACGTCGCTGGGCCTCAGGCGCGGCCTCCTCTCCGATGTGGCCCTCCTGCGAGCCTGCAGCACGAGCGCCCAGATGCGCAGGTAGCAGAAGGCCACCACCGCGACGGGCAGCAGGAAGTGCACGACCACCACCGCCGCCGTGTACTGGGCGCTGGCCGTTTGGATGAAGGTACAGGAATAAATGCGCGGGTCGTATTCCAGGGACCCCACGAAGAAGTTGGGGACTAATGCCACCAGGGTGAGCAGCCAGATGAGGCCGACATAGAGGGGGACGTGCCCATACCCGCAGAGCCGGTGGTAGGCCCCGCTGTGGCAGATGTAGCAATAGCGGTTGATGGCAATGGCAGTGATGTTAAAGACGGAGCCGATGACGCTCAGGCCCATCACAAAGGCACTGGCCTTGCAGTGCAGCTCGCCCAGGGCCCAGCCGCCATAGAAGATGGCCAGGAGGATCACTGGGTAGGGATACAAGGCTACCACCAGGTCAGCCATTGCCAGACTCACCAAGAATAAGTTACCTAAGCAGGGAAACAGAGAGAAGGAGTCAGCAGAAAATTCACGATTTCTACTCCATAGGAAATTTAGCCTTCACCAAGCTCCTTTCCACACTGGCGGTAGGAAGCAAATATGTTTCTAGTACTGAGGACTCACATTACCTCTCTGCTACCCTTTATTGGTGAGTCATTAAGCTCTCAAAGGCTCACCTTTGTCATTTGCAAAAGGGAGGATAATGATAGCCACCTTGCAGAATAGCTTGGAGAATGGGCTAATGATGCCCAGTGCTCAGGGAAAGAGTAGGTGCTCTCAAACAACAATTGTTTCCACAATGGGCTCACATGCACAGGGACGTGGCACCCATTAAGCTCCAGCATGGATTCTGGAGGAGGAAGAGAGTCTGAGAGGGTGCTTTCCTGAACATCTCTGGTAAGTCTCCTTTGGCATCTTCTCTGTGTTTCACAGCCTACTTGCCAAGTGTTTCAAAGTTACTTCGTTAGATTCCAATTGCATTTTGCCTCTGGAATGAAAGTATGGTTTTCAGAGCAGGAGGTATGTGTATGTTCTGGAATACATGAAATTCCTGGTATGCCTCGTCCTGGGCCCACACATCTGCCCGTGTGGCATGTTGACAAGTGCCTGGAGTGGCAGAATCCAGATGGGCTGAAGAGGGGTTGAAGAAGCTCCCTGCCCCACGGTCTGGAGGGAAACCTCCTACCATGTTGCACATTCATGGTCTTCCTGAACTGCCTCAGTCCTGGGTAGGCTCCAGCCCTCTGCAGCATCATCAAGCTTAGCCAACCTCCCAGAGCCTCAGGAAACCATATAGCTATTAGTTGGTGTACTTTAGGCATGTCTGGGATTGAGTAGAGTTGAGTTCCAAAAGATCAGTACTTTCCCTATAAGCTTTGCTGTCTAAAACTAAAACTAACCCTGACTTGTGAATAAAGCACTGAGGACCTGAGAGGAAGCAAGGAAGCTCATGGTATGAACAGTTTCTCTTTATGTGTGTGTGTATGTGTCTGTCTGTCTGTGTGTGTGTGTGTGTGTGTGTGTGTGTGTGTGTGTGTTTGCATCTTAGAGTTTAAAATTTTGCTTGGCTTTTTTTTCCCCTCGAAGAACACCTCCATATCTTGCTTTTTGTTTGTTAGTTGGAGATAAGTCTCCTCACTTCTTTTTCTGGGCTAGCTTCAAACTTCAATCTCAGATCTCAGCCTCTTAAGTAGCTAGGATTACAGGTGTGAGCCACCAATGTCCAGGAAGCAGCTCCTTCTTAATGTATTTGTTTCATTCACAGGGCCTTTACTTTTGGAGCATGCACTGTATACTCAAAACGATAGCAGACTATGCCCTAGCAAGGGTTGTCACAACACCCTCGGCACCAGGCATATGTGCAAGCTGCAAGCCTTAGGGCAAGTGACTACACAGGCAAGTGGAATGAATTTACAGGAGAAACTTTCAGGCTGGCAAAAATACAGAGGTTCTACTGCCATCATGATCTGTCCTTATTCCAGGGAGGCTGCTGTGACCCTCAGGGAGATGGAAACAGTCTCAACCTGAGAGCTCAGGCTGTGGGCTGATGCCTAAAGTTAATGAGAAAGGGAGGTTTGATTCATCTTGCTAAGAATTTGGACTTTCTCTGAAGCAGACTCCAAGCTTGCACATGTTAACCCATGGGGTGAGAAAAGCTACCTCCGGCCTCCCACACCCCCTGTCTCAATATACCTTCTCATCATGTCTCAGAAAAGATCATGGAGAGCTGTAGGACTGGGAACCTGGGAGACTAACAAGCAGGGGTCTGGAAGTGGTTCTTCTAGACTCAGAAGCCATTGGGCAATTCCACAACAAATCTTTCACACACACACACACACACAATTCTGAGGAGTTACTCCTGTGTCCAGAGTCAGGGGAGGTACTGGGGAGATGGGGTACAACTGAATAGAATGGAGATTCTGAGGGGAAATAGGGAAAACAGTAGGTATACAGGGATTAAAAATGGTAGGTAACACATGGCAGATAACGTGTGCTGCATCATGGCTCTTCTTGTTCCCATAGTGTCTTCAGCTCCTACCCCAATCCTTCTTTGCATAAGTTGTGAGTTCCTGCTCAAAGTCTTACTAGTAGTGCCCAAGGTGCCTGCTGAATTAATAAAAGGAGCTTGGGCTGCAAATGCACAAGTCATCAAGCAAACAACACAAAGCTCAGAGGAGGAAATATGGGAGGAGCCCAATACTATATAACTGCTTTGAAAGAAGACTCCCCTGGACTCTTTTTGGGGCCCTCTCTTTTAATGGAAAGTCTCATGTCTTTGCTTTCATGATTTTCCTTTTCCTTTCAAATAAATTTACTGTTTGCTTTAAAGACTTTACTGCCTTTTAATTCTTCAATGATCAGAGAAAAAAAAATCCATCTCCTAGTCACCATTAGTTATATGGACAGTTGGAATACTTGTGAGAGACAGGTGTCCTTGTCCTTGGAGATACTGTAGTAGGGTGGTGCCACTGGGGAAGAATTCTGCCAATTCCTCCCAACACTCTATCATTTAAAGGGCTAGTGAATAATGTGTTAAAAGAACAAACAAACCAACAAACCAAAAACATTTGTTTTCCTTCTCGTTGTTAATGTTAAGGTAAGAAATGCATGTATCTGTGACATTTCTGTCTGACTGGTAGCCTTGTTGGCTCTCTCTGACCATAGGCTGAGGCTCACTTGCTTAGGTTGGTCCCTGGTTTCCTTGGTTCCCAGGGAAAGAAAGATCTCTGTCGTAAACTTGCTGGCTTGAGGTGAGTCAAGAGCCAAACTACTTCTTGCCATGGAATTTTAAATATCTGGAGGACATGTTGAAAGTTCAAGCAACCCAGGACAACCCTAGTTCTGCTCATGTTTGGCCATGGGAATGTGGAAAACTTATTGAACTTCTTTCTCTGTGACTGGCTGTTCTGTCATCAGAGCTGGTTCCTCCTCTTCTTTGGCCCCCTCTGTGTCCCCACTCCTACCCCTACTCCATATGATTGTTTCTATGAAGACAACATTTCTTTCCAACATAGGAAACACAAAACCTACTGACTCCTGAACGTGCAGCCAGCAAGCTCTTGGCACTGGCAAGCCCATGCTGAGGAAGTCAGGAGTGGCTAGGAGCTGGTGCCAGCTCACCCAGCTGTTTCCCTGGGAAAGCCCAGTCAAGCTCTGCTGTGTTCCTGTGGCTCATCCCCTAATAATGCCCTGGAGGCTGGCAAACAGCTTGTAAATAGTGAGAAGAACACATTCGGCTCCATGTGGAAAGTGATTCAATTACTCTCCCTGATTATTCTGGCTGTTCCTGAAAGGCTGAAATCAACCATTCCTGCTGTACAATCATCTGCTCCAGCATCCCCGGGCTTTCTTGGCATGAATCCAAATTAGGTGAATACAATTCATGTTTTGTCTCCCATCTGTAAAAAGTCAGTTCCTGTCTGGACAAGAGTCATCACTAGACCCAATTCTGCATCCATTCCTTCCTTGGCCAGGTGAGAAATCAATCAGCAAACACACAACTCTGCTTGGCCCATCACCTAGGGCACAGGCTTTTCATGAATATTTATGTCACACATTGTGGCATGCCTCATTTCCATAAGCCTCCATCAGACAGGATTGTTAGTGGGAAGAGGCTTCCACAACAGCATTTTGTTCAATAATATGGAATCCCTTCTGGTATTCATATGCAAAGCACATACTTAAACACCCACAACTGCCACCGCTTCTTCTCTCTTCCTTTGTGGAATTTCGATTACTTATTCGCAGAGAGAATTTACTCTGCACTAGTCACAGTAGGGCATCATCTTGGGAATTCCATTTCCTAAGGACAATCTGGTACTTTAGGAAAGAAGTAGTCAATGCTGAGCTGTCTATTCTTTATCAAATAGGTGAATTATGAAATATAAAACTGTGCAACACTTGCCTCTCTTCCCTATACCCACCTTCTGTGTGCAAGAGAATGTAGTTGAATTTAAATCATTTCTGGTCATTGAACTAAATAACAAAATAGAAACAGATACCATTGAGTCATTTACTCAACAAACATTGCAGAATATCTACTAGGCAGTATTTCTGACTGTGCCAGAGCCTTGGGCCCTGGTGGTAGAAATAAAGTCAGTGATGATACCATTACCAGTCAATTGTTTGCATAGTGACTTGTGGATGTGACAATGTTCATGCACTGGGAAGCCTGTAGATAAACAGGATTAGAAGGGGACCAGGAAGATTAGGAAGAAGAATGGACTGCAAAAAAAAGAGAGAGAGAGAGAGAGACAGTAGGTAGAAAGTACATATGTGCTAGAAAGCATACAAGCATTCCTGCCACAGGAGAATAAAGACAAATGAAGACAACTGAAAGCCCAGTTCTTAAATTCAGCCAACCTCAACTGTTACATGTAGTAGAATTACCCAATAGAAAGTAACTTAGTGACATCAAATATAGTGAAAGCAGGGGTTATACTGTGGGGGAGGGACATACAAAGCAACAAAGAGATAATCTTATAAATGCGTTAGAAACACATGTATGAAAGAAAAAACATTAAAATACATATCTAAGGGTTCATTTTCCTGACATCACATTATCTGACCTTTTCCGCTTGACTCGTACATATACTAGATATTGCAAATAAGGGAAACCATGGGACCTATGTTTCTTTGGGCCTGGCTTACTTCACTTAATATAATTTTTTCCAAGTTTTTCCATTTCCTAACAAATGGGGCAATGTCATTCTTTCTGATGGAGGCATAGAATTCCATTGTGTATATATACCACATTTTCTTGATCCATTCATCTACTGAGGGGCATCTGGGTTGATTCCATATCTTAGCTATGGTAAATAATGCTGCAATAAACATAGTTGTGGAAAACCAGTTGTTTAAGTATACAGGTGGATCTGATGCAACAATGAGAAGTACAAGTTGTCATGTCCAAAACGAGCTTTACAACGTCGGTGCGGGGGGGGGGACGGGGGGGAAGGGGGGGGGGAAGGAGAAGGATTGGGATGGGGGA